TCACTATGCTGCAACAAAAATAAATATACTAACCTTGTACTTAACCAAAGGCTCCTCATATCAGGACTGGTCAAGCTCTGAAGTGTACGTTATTTTGTACCCTGGAAATTTTCTCGGATTCCTGTACAAACTTCCCAACTAAGAGTAAAAGATAGACTTTTAAAACCCTGGCAAGTGTAAATTTAACTCAAACCAACAAAAACTGGATATCTGTATTCAATGCCTTTATTTCAATTAAATTGGAATGAAAGATTATCCAATTCCTTTTTTTGCTGTTATCACAAGTGTATCATAAAAACAAGTTTTCTAGGGATTAAAGGCGTTATGTTCCAGACATGTTTTCTTTCACAGCCACAATTCCTGCATAAGCCCTAAATTACAAATTCTAGGCAAGAAGAATGATGGTGAACCAGTTTTCTAGCACCTCATCTCCAGGGAACTAGAAAGTTTCCCTACAACCTTGGAATTTTTCCATCAACTTCAATGACAACAGATTTCTCCAGTATTTCTTAATAGATATCAAATGCTGTATACTTCATTTTAAGTTGTATTTTTTCCACATCAAAGATGAATGTTATCCCATGTCAATCATGAATTAAATCTGCCCTGATACATTTTTAAAGTTTTCACCATTACTGAATCCTTTCAGATTCTGTATTTGCAGATAAGGTATTCCACAGGAAAAGCTATACATTTACAGTGCAGTACTGCAAACCTTCTTTATCTCCTCAAAACTGGGTGTGGATGAGATGAGCAAAAAAAGCCCAAGAGGCTACAGTTAAGTGGAAGTTGTGACTTTTTGTTATAAACACATACAATATTATATTAAATATTTGTATAACAGCAGCTGTGCAGAACAATTGATCAAACCTCAACTATCCTTTAAAAAAAGAAGCCAGTGAGCAACAGCATCTAAAGGCTTCAGAGGAATCAGCAAAAAGGCCACTGCTGTTGTGGCTCAGTAGACTCCCTTTGCTACTGTTTCAGAACTGATCTGTCTGCAAAACAATGGAAAGGCAGATCCTAATTCTAGATATACATACACCTTAAGACTCCGTGAGCTGGACGCATATGTGGCCTTAAATGAAATTACTCATACATTTCATGTTGACTATTTGTAACTTGGGATGTGCTAACTCTTTCAGAATATAGATCATATAAGGACAGGGTATATATAAGGCATTAAGATAAACAGCTTCTGTTTTAATTTGCAATTACAACAGAAGTATGAATTAAGATATATTTTATCAAGTCTCTCAACAGAAATGTCACAACTTTTAACTTCCAATAAAAGTTGAGTAGAAATTACCTATTAAACAAAAATGAAGGTAATGCTATGATTTATTTTAGGATAGCTAAGAAGGATGTAATAATTATTTTATTAAGTCTACTGAAACGTCATTTTTAAGTCTACTGAAATTTTATGAAAAATTGATTATACAAGGCCATCTTGTGAACTACAATTGCAATAGATCTAAGGAGATTTAAATGATCATTTTCAAGTTCTTTATTTTTTAATACCTCTGCCCCCCCCCCCCCTTTTTTTTTATTAGCCTGATGGTATTATTCCAGGGAACTTAGATAAATTACTGGTTACATTCAATCTGCAGATAAAATTACAATACAGAAAACCTTTATAAATACCTGTGATGCTATCCTTGCCAGCTGTAGTCATTCAGTCAAAGGTCAAACCTAGAACACAATTTAAGGGAGACCTGAAAATGGAAATAACAAAGTTGGCCCTCATGAGTAAAAATCAAATAGATGCAAAAATCATAATAATGAGATTACATATACACAAACAGTAAACATAATAGAAGTTTTGCAGAATGAATAAAGAGATGAAATATTAACACCTCCATTGCCTTTTTTTACGTTGCAAAGAACATCAGAAATCCAAGAGCCAAATGCTGGTATTAATTCTGGTATTTCTGCCTCAGATACTAACTTGCTCAGCAGCCAGCATTTAATCTTTATTAACCTATAGGTTAGAGGTATCAAGCACATTGCATTATTCATGTAGTACTAACTTTTCCATTGCCACAGATAAAAACCATCTGGAGAAAGATGATATCAGAACTATGTAACCGTCATGACATGGGAAATAAAGGCGATGCTAAGTTACTACTCATGAGCTCTGAATTAAGCATTAGAGGTATCTTTAGATGATATGTTAGCAAATTATTTCTGTCTTCACATATTATTTGACTAAACTAGAAATGCTGACATATGCACTGAAAACCATTACTGACAGAGCATCTAGTACAGACTTATATATCTAAAAGTGTTCAATCTATTAGAAAAATATAAACAAAAGGTTCTCTTATTCAAAAGGAATATTTTAAGAGATATCTTAAAGAACACAAGATGATTTTGAGATACAAATCAACTAAGTTATAGAAAATCTAATTTTGTCTTTTTCCTTTAGCATTTTGACTGTGCTTGTTTTCCACGATTTTGTGCATAATTCACTTCCATTGCATGGACTTTTATTTTCCCATTATCAATTTGGGTCTCTCAAGCAGATAATCAGAAAACAAGGTTAAGGGTTTGGGGGCTTCTTGGATTTCTTTCTTAATTCTGCTTTTTCTCCTCCCCGAGTTTGCATGGTTTGTCTGTTTGCTTTTTTACTGTAGGGGTATTGAGCAGGCAGATCAACTTCAATAAAACACTTTTAATTAACTCTGGTGAAATTAGCCATTATAAGTTGTCAGTTGCATTTTATACTATAGCAGAATGAAATAGGCCTCCGTAACACAATATAAAGTATATCAACCCAAGTGTACAAAATAGAACATTTTATTTGCACAATTGTTTACTGTCTTGCTTCAGAAATCCTAAGACTGACAGAGAACAAAATAGAAGAATAAGATTATTAATATTAATCTTAATCTTAATATTAATATTAATCTTATTAATATTAATCAGTAATAGATCATATCTTTAAGTTATAAAATACTGTCTTTTATAGGTTTAAAGCTGGTTATCTGAACATAATACTAATCAAAGCTGTTTTTATTTTATACCTTATACAGTCACATTCAGCATGAATAATAAAGATGATAGTAAAATAAATGGAATACTATGTTTCAGTCAGAAACTTCTCTGACTGAAGACTACATGTTTTGCTACTCATTTTTATTTGCTTTATTTCCTAAATTAATGGATAATCTGTGTAGAATCTTACAAAACAGTTTTTTTTTTTTTTTTTTTTTTTAATAGACACCTTCTAAAAGCATTTCTTCCATCACTGGCATGGCCAAACAGTCCAAACACAACCCGATTTTTCAAAATAACCCGCTACCTAAAGATTCAGACAAGCGCCTAGTAGCATCTCCTGAACTGGCTAGTCCCTTAATCTATCTAATTTAATCAGATGTAGGCCTCTCAAAGTGATTCTGGAAAAACACTAACTCTCTGATCTTTCCTTGTAAAGTATTAGGGAACTTTTATGGTTCTGATAATGTTACATTTGCATTTAAATATAACACAGTACAGAACATATTAAAAAAATCTCCCCTACTTCTTATGCATCCTGAATTTGTTTCCATTCAAGATCACAAAACACCTTTTATGACATTTTTCATTTTTACATCGCCTGAGTTGCAAGGGAGATATTTAGAGCCAGGCTACAGTAGCTTTATAAACTGTGAATGGGTTCTAGCCAAAACACAGTCAAATAGTTTTGAAGATGATAAAACAGGCATCTGAAAACCTAGAACTATGAAAATATTTGGGCTAGAAAACTATTTTAAGCCATTTCTTAAATTTTGAAATATATGAAAAAGGTATAAAAATTTCACACAGCAAAAAGGACCTTGACAGCACCAATACAACACTTTCTTAAGCCTTTGAAAGTCAATACTTCTCTATTATGCATCATAATCTTGAATTTTTTTTCGAGTTAGTTATAAGCCAGTTAAATTATTAGGATTGGATTTTTCTTCCATGGTAAAGTACTTAAAAGATTAACAGTGTAATAAGAAAAAATTGACATACAACTAAAATTCTCTCCTACTATGCTACTGTGGTATCTCTTTCTAGTTTTACAACAGTTTTTTTTTTCCTTAAATAAACATTACAAAAAACCTGAAGTTCTATTTAATCATAAATTAGAAGTTTTTATAAAACAGATCACAAAGACTGACACAAGTAACAAATAATGAATTTAATGGTCAGAAGAAGTTTAAAGAAAAATCTCTCGGTATCCTGTCAATACGCATAACTACATCATGTTTCTGCAGAGAGCACCGTAGCGAATAGGCAAAACACACATTTTTCTTTAGGCAAGTAATTCCAAGCAGGAAAGGATAAATCTAAAAATTAAGCAACCTCCACCCACAATGAGGATGAAACAGATTGTATGCATCTGAGGGGGAATAAAGAAAAAGCTTCAGTAGGCCAATGCAAATTATAAAGCTTTACCAATTTAGTTTTCTTTTTACTGTCACCGGTGCTTAAAAGGTTAAGACTTTATTTGTGCAAACATAGAGAGATAGCAGAGACTCATGATGTCTGCAGCTTCCTAAGTCTTGCTTAAGATCCTTTTCAATTACCATCCATTTCTCCTTTAAAAAGGGACAAAAAAATAGAGGAGTGGAAACGGGTCAGGGCAGTCTGTGACAATGACAGTGTGATGGGCTTGGACCCCCTGTGGTGTTTCCATCTGCTATCATTAAGGTGACTATTCAGACATGAAAAAATCCCTCTTGCTGTGCTGACAGGCAGACATCAAGAACTATGACAAGGCATTAAGATAGAAAGTAGAGACAGAGATGTCATATTCCACAAACAATACTGCCTCAAACAAGACCTCTGAAATTTTATTGAAATTTAAAATAAAATAAAAGAATCCAAGGACTTTTTACCTGGAGGTTATCAAACTTCCTCTCATGTTAGTTTGACAACGAAGAGATTGCTGACAATCAGTCACAAACATTTAGCTTCTACTACCTGTAATCTCCACCATATACAACTCAAGTTTCCGGATTATTCTTCAGTACTGGTGTTCTTCTAATTTCTCGTGCTTTTTTAAATCCAAATCCATGTAGCGGAGACTGCGGTCTCACGGCTTGAAGTATTTCCAGTACTGAAGTCTTTGTTTAATCATGTGCAATAACTGAAAAAAAAACTAGTGATGTGAACATCTGTAATAAACTGTTTTTACTTCATAACAAATGAAGTCCAAACAAATGATAATTAAATTCATATCGAATGTTAAAAGAAGTGTGAAATGACTGCAATGTTTATCTCAGTGTAAAGTAACAAAATGAGCACAGGCTTTTAACCAGCAGGGGGTGCAACAGGATTATGATTGAGCTCTGACCCTTTGGCACAGAGACTGAAAGCAGATGTGACAGTTGTACAGAATAAGCATTTAGCTTCTACATACTGTAACAGTTGTGTTTATAAAGGTTATGCTTTCATGGCCACACTGGAAACTACTTTGCTAGTGTTTCACTGAGCTTGTTCAACTTGTACCAGGACAGCTCCTCTCCATCCTGCCAAGCCCTAAGTGATCAATAGCTAAACAATAATATTGCAAGCCTCATTTAGCAATTTCCAGCAGTGTCTTTTAACTTGCCCTAACCAGAGTAGCCTTTATTAGAGTGTCTGTGAACATAAGGTGTTTGTGTACGGTGGTGTTTCTTTTTCAGAAACTGATTCATAACATTGCCACCAATGGTATTTACAGGATTTTAACTTATTGTCAGAAAATCTTTACAAATATATGGTATCTAGTTGTGCAGTATGTAGCACCAATCTGCAATTTACTATTTGATCACACAGTAAGGATTATTTTCAAAGTTAGCCCTGCTCAATATACACTAGTATTTTTCCCCAACAACCTCACATCTTCAAATGGGACAACGTAACCGTTTAATCACATGCAACATTAGACAGTATGTACAACCATGTGACAAACCAAGCTGGAAATATGATCTGAATTAGAAATAAATATATTTTTGTTGGGAAAGCCTGTTTTGTTGGCACAATTGAAGGGAAGAGGCTGGATACTGGATAAAATGCTGAGGACTGGGACTGTTTAAGCAGATTTGACACCACAGGATGTGTAAATGTGACCATGGTAAACTTACCTATTCACACGCCATCCTACTTGTTACATATTGCCCATGAGCACTTCAAGCTGCCTACCACCACACCAACTGGAGACACATCAGAACCCTACATTTTGCAAGGCGAAGGAGAGTGAGGGAGTCTCACGGATAAAAGGGCTTTTCCTTATGCAAAGCTTTTCATTTGAGCCCACGCATTTTCTGTTACATAGATGCTTCCATTTTTTAAAATAATCCAATTACACACTGACTGCAGTTAATACAAGGAAAACTAAATCCTGAAAGTGAATCCTGGACACAAAAATCACGTTTTACAGACTGTTACACCAATTACCTCAGTATTCCTATATCTGGGGATTAGTATTAATCACTTCAATATTTGGATAAAAGTGCAACAATTATTCATGAAAAGATAATACTCTGAGAGTTGATATTATGTTTATTGTTCACTTCATCTTAAATGCTTGTTCAACCATCTATAACCATACAGAAAAAAAAAATGTGTTTTAGAAACATTTGTAAACCTAATTCTTTCTACAAGTCCATTCCTAAATTTAGTTGAATCATTAATTTGCATGTTGTCCATTTCTGGGAAGGACTAGAAACAGCGCATTTCCAGACACCACACTACACATGGTACAGGAAGGAAAAAAGCCTTGACAGGTTTAGCTTCACCCAAATCCAAGTTATTTTAACAACCCTTTTATGTAAGTTATGGCTTTATTTTTAAGAAATGATATGATTTCAAAGTTATCTATTATCCTAAAAAATCTCTTCTAGTTGTTTAGAATTCCTCTATCATCTACAAAATAAGACAGGCACCTACCAAGGGCAATTTTTTTCAGGATGTAACAAATCCCTTATCATAAGTAATCATCTCTCTCCTGTATAACATGGACAGCTTAGACAACTAGCTTATATGAAATATTACAATGAAATACTGAAACATTAAAATATACCACAATACACACAGTTGTCAATCTATCTAGTTATTTGACAAAGTTCATTTGGCATATCTAAGACTAAGCATCTCTACTCTTTGTTCCCACAGTGGCAGCTTACCTGGCACCAGAATTTCAAACTCATCTTGGCATTTAGGAATTACAATAGGGCCAAATGCATCCTGTAATCCCTTCTGACAGATTCTACAACCCCTCCCACCACCCCCCCCCCCCCAAAAAAAAAAAAAAGTTTTTTGACTTAAAATGAAATGAGCAACAAAACAGCAGAACATCCTTTAATAAATATGTAGTCCCTTTAATTTACAGCAAGTAAACTAACAAACACTGGAAGATCAGTCTGCTATAAGTCTTTCCACTCTCATTCAGACATTCAATTACAAACATTTTCACGCTAAGTGTTTCAAGTTGGAAAGTTTCAACTGTTTCAAGCTTGAAACAAGAAATATGTCATAAGTAGCAGCCATGGGACCAAGCACTGGGACCCTGAAAATCTTCAAACGTTTAAGCCATGATGAAGCAGATTCTTAACCGTCTCTGGAATTTTAGAACCAACAAGTACAAAAACACAGAAGTTTTACTAGTTAATAGGAATGGGCAGGGATTAGCAACCTAGTACACCTTGACTGAGAATGAGGTTGGGAATGAAATTGTGCACGTTCAAACCTGGCAAGCAGTTGAACAAGATTGGCTAGAATGCCAGAAAGGTCATTTAAACCTCTCAAAGTTCATTCCTGAAGGAGATGATTGAAAAGTGACAAAACTAGGACTGACAAATCTCAGATTCCCCAGGGATAAATATGGGAGAGGAAATACATAATTTCCCAACAGGAAGGAGCATAGGATTCTCCTTAGCACTTTTGCTTATTTTTTTTTCCCCATCCTAAAACTAGAATTTAAGACAATTCTAAGCATTAAAATGTTTTTTTTTTTTTTTAAGAAAAAAAGATTTGAGAAAAAATCATGGATAGGTCAATACAAGTAAATCTGGCAAGGAAATTTACAGGGAGAGATAGAGCATGTTACCTAGAGAACAGTGAAGAAGCTGACATGAACTTCAAAAAACCATCAAGAAAAGATCAAAGTGTAAGTAAGATCATAGGAGTCTGTTTTATTTTTACAACTTCTTTTATGTAGGAAGGAAATAAATAAATAATCTTTTGTTTGAACTTTAATCAACTCTCAGATATCAGGAACAAAAGGGCTTATAGGTAGCAATCCCTGTTGTTTTAACAACAGAAACAGAGATTTCATCCTAAGACCCCTACAGTAAAAATGGGGGTTCATTCATCTACAGATAATGTGGGTTTCACTGACATTGAGTAGTGCATTGACTCCCTATATAAAGGAATGTTTAATCTAGCAGACAAAAGCAGAATAAATCAGGCATAATTTGAAAAACAAAGCATATATTTACTTGTTTTAAACAACTATTCAGTAAAATGATGGACTCTTCCATCACAACTATAAAGTGACTGGTATCTTGGTACTTCAAGCAGACATTAAGAATTATACAGGAATTGCTGCTTAAGTTCTAAGTATCTCTCTCGCTTTTCTAGTTTGTGAAATGAGTATTTCACAATCAAGATCTGCATCTTAAAAGCACCCCACCATGTTCATGTTGTCAACTATGTTCTTTGCTCACAAAGATCTTTTAACAATCTCACATCATAGACACATTGTAACTAGGAACTTACCCTATTCAAAGAGACCGAGTAATTTATGGATTTAAATAGTCTAAGCTACATGTCACTGCCCTTCAGTTGAGATATGACAGTTGCTTGAGAGGTCACTGAGTTTGCCTTCAGCATGAAACAGGTTTGTTGAGAGGATGACACCTTAGCAATGTCATCCTTAGCCCTAGCAAGTCCAGCAGCTGTTGGAGGCAACAGCAGTCAAGACTTACCATGCAGTATTTTGTGTATTTATGCTGCTGAACTGAATAATAACAGGAACTGAACAACAGTAAAGCTCTAACAGAAAAACAACTGGATTAGACAACTTGAATTTATCAGATATCTATATTCTCTACCCCACTCATTTATAAAAAGGCATTACTTATGGATGGAATCATCTCACCTCACATGGGTGATTTTTGTATAAACTTTGATAGCAAGAGTTGAGAAGCTTCACATTTACTGGGGAAAAAAATAAACTACAGAAATAAGTCACATTAAAACAAGATTAATGTGGCATCTAGAACTGGTTTACACAAGAACTTAGAGATAACCTTGAATGTGATTTAAATTCTAGTATTAAGTAATTTTTTTTTAAGTAATTTTTTATGATTTGCCAGAAATGACTGCCACTAAAAAAAATCTCTCAGGAGATATTCAATAAGGAGTTCCAGGAACAGACAAAACCTCAGTTTTCAAACCAAATCTTTTATCATATCACAAGAATGATGATGAACTAGGCTAGCTTGCTTTTATGGATGATGGTGTTTCAGTGACTCCAGAGAGAATGGACTGCAAAGTTAATTTCTTTGTTGGATCTGTTAAACTTTAAGAAGTCAAATTTGAGCATAGATCAATGGCAGTCAGATCTTGTCAAGCCTCCCAGTCAGAGCATTTTTCAGATATAACAATGAACTCTGGATTCAAGAAAGATACCTGCTTAAACAAAATAATGGAGATTCACACAGAAAACAGACCTCCAGGATATTTTTTGACAATGAATCTGTAGTTCTGATCAAAGCAGAAGTTTCAAAGACTGCACAAAGATCTCTCTGCATGGGGAGATTTGGGCTACAGAATAGCCACTACTATCAAAACCACCCTGCAAGCTACATTTTCCATTGCTTTAGAGGAAAGCACTAAAGTAATTGTGCAAACATAAATCATTCATCATCTTTCTAAAAGCAGTTGCTAGTAGGAAAAATTAATAAAATCCAGTAAGCTTCATATGATATGCTCATATAGAGCATAGAACATAGCATCATATGCTCATATATGAGCAAATAAGCATAGATATGCTCATTTGAACACAAAATTGAAATTATTTAACCAAACATTTTATGTTATGTTGGCTATGTAAGGAATGAGCCAAGATAACATGGCAGGAGATAAATGAACTGCTTTCTCAGTTGCACTGCATTGACAGAAGGTAAACCCACTATAGCCAGACATAACACCTATAGACAAGAAACACCAGTGCAAGTTTGTGGCAGTGCTTGAACTCCAACACCACTTGCTCCAACACCATCAGTGTCATGTCTGCATCAATTCTGTGTGCAGTTAGTTGTATGTCTTTACAAGGGAAATGTCCAACTGCAAAAAGGATATTCTTAAGGCTAACAGAATAAAGACCCCATGTTGCCAGTTCCTGTGGCAACATCATCGGTCAACAACCAAAATCTTAAAAGTCAAACATCCCTGAAGACCAAAAATAACTTAATTCTGAACATATGTAATACTGAATTTAATAACTGAATTAATGTGACCATTTACTTACTGTTTTTGTCACTGCTCCAGTTAGATTTCTCAGTTATTTTTTATTCAAGTAGTGCATTCCCTGGGTCTTTGCAATTTCCATATACCTAAAAAAAACACAAGGAAAAAAGTATTTACAAAGATGACTTTAAAAAAAAAATGCCACCAACTTAAAGGAATTATCTTTTATGAAAAACTTAAGTCCATGATCATTGGTTGTTTTGAAGTTGAAGAGGCAACCAGGTCATACAATTGGACAACACACACAGCACATGTTAGTTCCTTCCGTCACCACTAAATAAACTGTTAAAAGTTCTGTTAAATCTCACAGTAGGTGTTACACTAAAAAGCGTAGAAAAGTACCTATTTCCTATATCACAGCCAAAACAATTTTCTACCCAGGTGCAGAGAAGCGTAGAGACGCTACTCAAAAGATGGAGGGAAAGAAAGCTAGACAGCCAAAGCCTGTATCACCCTTCATAAAACAAATACTAAAATAACCTCTGAAAAACTAAATGGAGAAGACACCCAGGCAACTCAAAACAAGCCACTTGAGTCATATATGGCTCTATGTCACTTCTACAATGATTCACCAACAAAGAACCCCTAAGAAAATTTGAGTTAAGATGATTCTTTTAACAGATTGGAAACAAACTTCTCCCCACTTGACCCTGCAAACTCTTAATCTCATGAATAGCCCCTCTAATAAAATTGTGGCAAAGTGTTACTGATTTCTATAGTGGAAGAGAGAAAAAAATGGTCAGAAAGAGTCAGAAAAAAAAGTTTGCTTGAAACAGTTATAATATACACGTCTGTGGAAGAGATGGTGTAGAATGAAGTATATTTAAATATACAAGCAAACACATTTCAAGTAAAGGCTATTCAGATTTTATTCTTGCTCATACTTAAGTCTAAGGCAGAATTCTACTGTGATCTATAAATTAGTCTGCCTATTGCTCATGTCCACTTGGAATATATTTTAAGCTAAGATACATTCTCACATTATGTATGTTCAAATCATGCATACTAACATAAACCTAAGTATCCAAATAGTTTCTCAAATATTTAAACAGCTATCAGAATTTTGGTTGAATTGATCAATAAAAAAAATTGAAGCATTCTGAAGACTGAGATGCTTTGCAGGGAAAAAAGTAACACCTTTCTTTTCTGCTAAAATTAACCCTTGATAGTGACTCTGCTTTTGCTGTTCAGGAACTAAAATCCTAACCGGTACTCCGCTAGGCATAAAGACCTACTTTCTAACAAAATATTTCTGATAAAAATCATTGTAAAAGTGTTCATTCCTACTTAGTCCAGGTGTAAAGCTGGAGGTACAATGAAGAGAGTAATCTTCCCAAGTATTTTAAGAATGCATGTTCTTTTTTTTTTTTTTTTTTTTCA